TTCAGTGAAGTACTAATTCAAGTGCCAGGTGATAGTGAACACCTGCCAGTCCTCTTGGTTATTTGACTGACCCATTTAAGTCTGGTATTATGTTTCTAAAATCAAGCTTTTACACTTGGCATAGGTTTTTTAAGGTGGTACTGGCTTTAGAGATGTGAAAGGACAGGCGTTGAGGTGTTTTCATGGTCATGTCCTAGGAAAAATGTTTATGGACTTCTGTGAGAACTGAGCCCTGCTACCTACAAACTGCACCACTAAGACTACTCTGCAGGAGTAATGGTTTTTAAAATTTTTTGTAGTAATTTTGGTTCTTTAGTTGGATTTTTTGTTCTTGTCAGACATAAGCTTTTGTAACTCTTTATAAAGTTTTTAGATGGATTTCACTGAAAATGATGTTGTACTTTGTGCTCAAGGTGTGCCTGAAGATGCATTTGGTGAACAACCACATTTTCTAAATCCATATTAATGGATAAATCAAATATTGATTTGGAATACTTTTATTCCACACCAAGGATTTTTATGCTATTGTTTGTCCTTTGAGCCTCTGTCACTGGAGAATGGTATTTATGGTTTGTCTGTGTCTGCAATCTGTTAATTACAAACTCAGAAGTATTAGGAGTCACACTACCACTAGTACTATATTCTAGTATTCAGTACAGAACCTCTAATGCATGCAAATTTTATTTCATATAGAAATAGGTGGTTCAGGTAAAGGTTGTGCATAATGATGAAAATTTCAAAAATGAAATGAAAGCTTAGTGAAGTTTAATGAAAAACCACTGTGCTGCTTCCACAAGTGTGAGCTGGGTGTGCAGACTGTCACAGAGTACCACCTTTGTGGTACAATCCTATTTGTAGGGATTGTTTGCTTTTGGATGTATGTTCCTGCTAAGCAGCTCCACATATCCTTAGCACATACTTCTTTGGGGCAAAAGGTGGGAGAAGTTTTGTTTTTGGTTTTTGGGGGTTTTTTTTTGGTGAAAGAGATTGTTAGTATGGTTCAGATAAACTTAAGGCTGAGTGGTGTTTAGCCAAGTACTGGAAGTCTCAACTATTCCAATACCTTACATGTTGTTATGAGAATTTGGATGTGCTTCATATCACTTTCCTGTTCTTTTGGTGGCCTAAATACTCTAAAATATTCTAAATATTAGAATACTCACTGAGAAAAACCAAACCCCCAAAAATCTTATGTCAAATGTAATATCTGGCCATAAAACTACTGACTTGGAAAGCATCCCTGTATCTCCTTGGCATCATGGCAGGGATGCAGTCGTGACCTTTAGATCGGACCTTGCCGAGGCAGGGCTGGAAAGGTGGGAGACAGACAGCCAGGTCGATAACCCGTATCATCTCTGCTGCAGTGACAGCCGATGGGAAGAGCCTCTTCCTCTCTCATGGCAGGATGGCGAGAGGGAGTGCTTTTCTCGGGTCCTCAGCCGCCTCCGCAATAGCCTGAAAGAAGCAGAAAATACCTTGTGAATATAAACGAAGGGCTGTTCCACCTGGCTTGAAGGGCGCAGACGGCAAAACGCAGAGAGGAATCTCTCTGTAACTCTGTCAGAGGAGCGTGGCAGAACTTCAGCCCTTCAGCAGAGCCCTGTGCCCGCCGGTGCCGCGGCAGCTCCGTGAGCTCTGCCCGCCCGGCCGAGCGCAGGCGGGGGCAGCGTGTGCGAGCCGGGCAGCTCCGAGCTCCGCCGGGCCGAGCCCGCGGGGCGCTCCCTCTGCCGGCGGGGCCTCGGGGCCGGGAGGAGCCGCGGCCGCGGGACAGCGCGGGGCCGGGGCCGGAGAGGGGCAGGTCTTCCCTCCTTCCCTCCTCAATTCCCTCCCTTCTTCTGTCCCTGGCGGCCCGCGGGAGCGGCTCCCGGCGGGAGGGCGGGGAATCCACGCCGGGATTTCGGAGGCACACTGACATCAGGGGGGCGCGGCCGGCGGCGGGCGGGGGCTGCGCGCTGAAAGGCGGCGAGGCGCGGCCCGAGTCACTCCGGAACGGCGGCGGGGCAGCGCGGAGCGGCTGCCGGCACTGCCCGGGCTGGATCCGCGCCGCCAATGTGCCGCGGGAGGCGGGCGCTCACCCCGGCCCTAGGTAAGCCCGGGCGGCGCTCGCCGCGCCGCACACCCACCTCCCGCCGGGTCAGGTGCGGGCGGGCGGCCGGGGCTCCCCGCGCCGCGCTGGGGGCGGCCGCGCTGCGAGGCGTGCGGGAGGTGCGGGCGAGCCGCGCTCGCTGCTCCGCGGGGCACCGGGCGGGAGAACCGGGGCTCGGCTCCCCGGGCCGGCAGCGCTGAGTTGGGCGCGATTCGCTGCTCACAGAGAAGCTCCGGGTCGGTACTCGCCCGTCCCGCCCGACGCGGGGTCTCCGGCGCGTCGGAGCTCTGCGCGACCCTCTCGAGCCTGCGGAGACCTCGGTGCCAGACTGCGGCGTGCGGGGTCGCCCCTCCCCGCCGCGTCCTGCCCCTGCCCCGAGCCTGTCACTCGGCCCCCGGCAGCGACAGCCAGCACATGGCTGTGTGCGGCGAGCTCGCAGGGCCATTGCATTGCGCTGCCTCTGGCTTCGTTCGCAGTTCGCTGAGTTCTGCCTGGAGAGCCAGAGCCGCTTCTTGATCGCTTTAGAAAGAAAATAAAAAATCAAAACGAAATAAAAGCGAAAACCCAACCGAATCTTTCGCACCAGAGGTTGTGGTTGCACTTTGCCAGACGGGACTTGCGGCAAGGACCATGCGGTGAAGCCGAGCGCCGGAGCGGGACCGCAGCCCTGCACTCTGCGATCGCAAAGGGAAATAACAAACAACCGGAGCAGGAGCCGCGCACCCGCCGCCTTTTCACAGAGACCAGCATCGCAACAGCCCCGCTGCCTGCCGCAGCCTGCAGCCGCCTGAGGCTCCATCCAGATACTCCGCTTTGCAGGAAGGGCTGGATTTGCTCCCCGTCGCCTCCGGACCGAGAGAGCCGTGGCCGAAGGAGAGCGCCGCTTCCACGGGCGGCCGGGGCCGCTGCATGCTGACCCCGGGAGAGGGGAGCTGAGGTGGGCAGGAGAGCGGGGCTCTTCTCTGCTGGCCTAGTAGGACGTGGAGATCGGCGAGCGAGGGCTGCGCGGGGACTAGGAGCGCAGCCCGCCGGCCCTCCCCTCCCCGGGGGCCGGGAGAGCGAGGAGCCGAGGCCCCGCCGCCCCCCGCCCGCTGGATTTGCCGTTCCCGGTGGCTCCCTGCACACCCGTAAGTTGGGACCCGCCGTGCACTCACTCGCGGGGCCGGCGCTGCCGCAGCGAGCAGGTGCCGCGGGGCGCTGCGGCGCCCGCCCGGTGAGGGGCGGCCCCGACCACCCTCCCACCGTCCCCCTCCCGGAATGGAGGCACCGGGCTGCTGCGGGAAGGTTTACTGGGGATCGTGGCCGGCTGCGAACGAGCAGAACGTCAAAAACATCCCCCAGACGCTCCTCGCAGGTGGGGGCTGGAGGGGCTGAGGCGGAGGGTGCCGAGCCGCAGCGCGGGGCTGAGCGGCCGCTCGGCTGCCGCTTTAAGCGCCAGGTAATCTGCTCTCCCGAGGCAGCGCCGGGCTAAGATCTGCCTTCCTCTGGGGAAGAGAGAGAGAAGGAGAGAAAGAAAGGGGAAAAAAAACAACAACTATGTTTTCATTCATAACTTTTTTTTCTTCCCCTTTTCCCCTCCTCTTCCTTCCTCTCCGTCAGCGCCGTGATCCGCTCCGCTCCGCTCGGGGCGCAGAGGGCGCCGCGCCGCCGCCGCCCGCCCGGGGCTGCGGGGAGCGGGGCGGAGCAGGGCGGGACGGGGGCGCTGGCGGCGTGTCCGAGCGGGTGTGGAGAAGGGGAGGGAAGCGGGGAGGGGGAGCGCAGCCCCGGGTGCAGAACCGTGAGGGCTCTCGCCGCCTGCATCGTACGTTATTTTATTATTTTGTTTTACTAATTTTTCTTTTATTGTCCGGGGGGAGAAGCAGTTTACGAGCGATCTGCGCGGGGGTGGAGGTGGCTGTTCAACTCTCGCCCCGGTCTGCAGCTGGGCTTGTCAGTCTGCGCCGCGTTGATGTTGCGCTTTCCCCCCAAAGATGGCACTGGACGTCTTTGCATTTTCTTGGGATATTGTTTTTCATCCCCTAGGGAGCCCAGCTCCTGACTGGTACAGCTGTAAATCTTTCCCTTTTCGCATTCATTCAGCCTTGGTCTGTTGTGGATTTGTATTCAGTGCTCATGAAGAAGGCTGCTTCTTGTGTGGGGTAGGAGGAAATTCTTTGCTGGAGGGTGGTGAGGCACTGGCACAGGAAAAGGCTGTGAATGCCCCATCCCTGGAAGTGTCCAAGGCCAGGTTGGATGGAGCTCTGAGCCACCTGGTCTAGTGGAAGGTGTCCCTGCCCATGCCCAGGAGCTTTGGGACTGCAGAGTCTTTTAAGTCCCTTCCAACCAAGCCATTCTGTGATTCTGTTCTGTGAATTAGAAGTGAGAATGTTTGGTTTTTCTGTTTAATCTGGTGACCACAAAGCCCACACAGGTGATGTCAGATGTAAAATGAAATCTTTTGACTACTGGATGAGGACAAACACTTTGTGTCACGGCACAAGCTGTCACTTTCTGCTTATGGTGACTGCCTGCTAGAACAAACATTTCCTCTTCTTGTTCTTTTGGTGCCTTTTTCTCTCTGGAGCGGGGAACAGCTCCATGCTGGCTGTGGTCTGGATATACAAGACACTTTCATAGCATTATTGGATGAGTTTTTGAAATGCTTGCTAGCACTAACCTTTCTCTGCTTTCAGGTAAACACTTATGGCGTCCCAAGGGGGAGTGAAAAGGGACTTTTCCTTTGGCTGACAGTAAAGAAAAGCAGCTTGTTGTCTTGGTTCCCTGCATAAATGTGGCACTTGGATGCTCAGTTCCAATTCTGTGTAGGTGCAGAACTCACTGCAGTTTTCTCTGCGTTGCAGCCTTCCCGTCTCTAGCTAGGCAGGATGGAAATGTGTAACATCTCTACTATTCTCCTACTGCTTAAAAGATAGACAAACAGATGTTCTGTTTATTTGAGAAGCTTTTAGTCTGTCTTGTGAAAATGGATTTGTTCTCTGGGTTTTGAGGTTGTTGTTGAGGGGTTTTTATCTGCTTTTAACATTCTAATGAATGCTCAGGTGCCTTTTGTTTGACACCTAGTTCATCTAAGCCTTTTCTACTCCATTTTTCTTTCACACTCTGGCCTGTGGTCAGGAAATATTTGAAAACAGGTTGTTTGCACCCTTGCTTTAATTTTATAAAGGAGTGTATTAGATGTGTAGGCTGAGTTACTTTCTCACAGAAAATGTCTTGGCCACTTGACAGCACTTAGTTCAGGACTCTGTAATGCACATACGTCACTTTAAGAGGGAGACTTTCCAAATGCGCTAGGAAGAAAATCTGTGGAGCTTTCTGATGCTGCGGATTCAGGCAGAAGAGTGAGAACTGGGCTCGTTCCTCGCTCTGCCATACGAAACATGAACGTAGTGGTGTTCTTGGCCGTTTCCAGCTCAGTGTCAGGGGCATTCGGAATTGCTGTTGCTAGAGACAGATGTTGAGTTCAGTAGCAAGGGAGAGGCACTTCCCATGACTTGCCAAGAAAGCATACAAGTTAATACTGGATTTTTATTTTTTAATTTTTTTTTTTTTTAATGGCATGGGGTCTCCTTTGCATTCCTCATCTATGATGCCATACGCAGACTCTCCCCATTACTGGACTTTGGCCAGATCCTCAGCGCTGCTGTAATCCCCTGCTGAAAGTGATCAGTACCAGGTGGCTGCGGCAGTTTGGGCTTTGCCAGAGCATTTCTGTTTTCAGAAAGTATCCGGTGCTTTATCCCTCCGCTGCCCTTGATCTCCTGTGTGTATATGTACACACGCAGTGTTTATTTACACCTTCTGTCTCTTTCCTTATTTCAGGATTTCAGATGCATGCCAGGTTCCCGCTGAATGCCAGCAGCAGAGATCACTACAGATGGAGCCCCAAAGTCAGCACGGCAGCGGCGGCTCCCTGGTGGTGATTCAGCAGCCCTCCCTGGACAGCCGGCAGCGCTTGGACTATGACAGGGACAGCCAGCCCACGACCATCTTGTCACTGGACCAGATCAAGGCCATCAGGGGCAGCAACGAATACACCGAGGGGCCATCGGTGGTGAAAAAGTCGGGTCCGCGGACGGCGCCGAGGCAGGAGAAGCATGAGAGGACTCATGAGATTATACCAATTAATGTGAATAATAACTACGAGCACAGGCCCGGCCACGCGGGGCACGTGGCGCATCAGCATAACGCCAGGGCTCCCGTCCTGAGCCGATCGACCAGCACGGGCAGCGCGGCCAGCTCCGGCAGCAACAGCAGCGCCTCCTCGGAGCAAGGGCTGCTGGGGCGCTCGCCGCCCTCCCGGCCGGGCTCCGGCCACAGATCCGACCGGACGATCCGGGCGCAGCCCAAGCAGTCGGCGCTGATCGCGGACGATCTGAAGGGGCCTTTGAAAGAGGACTTGACGCAGCACAAGTTCATCTGCGAGCAGTGCGGGAAGTGCAAGTGCGGGGAGTGCACGGCGCCGCGGGCCCTGCCCTCCTGCCTGGCCTGCAACCGGCAGTGCCTCTGCTCGGCCGAGAGCATGGTGGAGTACGGCACCTGCATGTGCCTGGTCAAAGGGATCTTCTACCACTGTTCCAACGACGATGAAGGGGACTCGTACGCGGATAATCCCTGCTCCTGCTCCCAGTCACACTGCTGTTCTAGGTACCTGTGCATGGGAGCCATGTCCTTGTTCCTGCCTTGCTTGCTCTGCTACCCTCCGGCCAAAGGATGCCTAAAACTCTGCCGGGGGTGCTACGACCGCGTCAATCGTCCGGGGTGCCGGTGCAAGAACTCCAACACGGTCTATTGTAAACTGGAGAGCTGCCCCTCCCGGGGTCAGGGCAAGCCCTCATGATTTTGGGAGGGAGGTTTACTTCCTCCAACTTCAGTTTTTCAGGTTGTAGCTGATTTTTTTTCCCCCTCCCCCCATCTTTTATTCTTCCTCTACTCCTCTCCCATTTTGGGAGGACTGTTGCTTTCCTTTCCTTTCTGTCTGCCCAACATCAGACACATGCATTCATCCCCTTGCATCTTTGCTCTTCTCCTACTGACTTGGCTGAGTGTGGAGCGTTTCACGCAGTCGCTGCTGTTCTTTGGTAAGTGTGGACCTGGGTTCTGCACCTGCCACTCGTTCAGGCAGGGTCTTTGAGTTTGTAACTGAACCACTCCTGAAAGAGACAGTGAGGGCTCACTGGGCTCTTGAAGCTTCTTGCTCTGTGAATATCTTCCCAAAGATTTTTTTTTTTTCTGTGTTTTTTTGGGTTTTTTTGGTGGGTTTTTTTTTTTTTTTTTTTTTTTTTTTTTTTTTTTTTTTTTTTTTTTTTTTTTTTTTTTTTTTTTTTTTTTTTTTTTTTTTTCTCAGCAAGTTATGGTTTTTTCTCCTTAACCTCCTGAGTGCCAAGGGAGAATAACTTTCCTGGATTGTGAAATAACTTTTTGTGTGTGTTCTTTCTGGAGAGGGATGTAAAATAAAGGCTTCACCAAATGAAAGGCCTGACTCTTCTATAAGCAGCCTGCTTCTTTTTGCATCTTTTTTTTTTCCCCTCTCTTTTTCTCTTAACTTTTGGAACATTCTCAGACCTGAGAATTGCCCTGCCTCCTGTTTTTGTTTTTGTTTTTTACATTTTCAGTGTAACTTCATTTTTTGCTACCCTATGTAGATCTTCACATTGGAGACATCGTGGCTGCAACATACTCATTTGTCATTTGTTTCTTTTGCTGTTCAGTCTTTGAAGGATATTGCTTACTCCACCCTCCTAATCCAGTTTTTATAGTCTGTCAGTATCAGTTGATATTAAAGTTGGTGGTGTTCATATATCCAAACAGCCTTCAGGTGTCATTGAGTCACCTAAATTTTCTTGAATTCTTCAAGTCTCTTGTGATTCTTTGGCTTAGTGAGTTTAGCTCTGCTCTGTACTTTATAATTTTATTCTGTCCCTGTTTTATTGCCTTAGCCACAGATTGTGGTCCTTTTTTGTATATTTTATGTATAAAACACAAAGTTGAATCCCAACTATTTTTAAGACAAAAGTCTGTTAAAACTTTTTTATTGTAAAGAATATTTATTATGTGAATCTCTATTATTTTATGATATTTATTTCAAAAGACTTCAAAAATGTACTCATGTCTGAATATAACAAAATATCAATACTTAACGAAATAAGGATGACACGAAGAAAGTACATATGTTAACTATAATGCAGAAAATATATTAATTAATGAAAATGCCTCTGGAGTTCTTTTGTTACAGCGACAGGTTTTGAGCTACGTGTGTGTATTGCTGGGCTGTTCCTCCTTCAGACTGTCAGGTGGCAAATAACCTCCTGTTAATACTTCAAAGCCACTAGTCTGTGCTCTAGTTTAGTTTACCTAGTTTTAAGTTTAAGCCAACTATATATCAAATAAGAGATGTTTAATACAATTGAATCTGTGTTGTGCTTAACAGTGCCAAGAAATGGAGGCTCTATTTATTTACCAAAGCATTTGGAAATACATTTGTGGAGGAGGAAACCACAACTTCCAAGTTGGTTTCTTATTTGGTGTTTGGTTTGGGTTTTTTTCTTTTTTTTTTTTTTTTAAGGAATTCCACATTAACATGCAAAGCCATTTAAAATTTTCTTATATAGAACTTCCTGGCTGGTTAAATTGTGCAGCAGCTGAAGAAATTAATCTCTTGACCTCAATTCTAAATAAAAAGCTTGGAGCCAGGATGAAAAATAGTGATTGTGTTGCTGTAGTTTGGTAGCTTTGAAATCTGGGAATGTGTGTGTGTGTTTGGGCCCATGTCTATGACTTACTTCATTTTTTTCCCATTTTCCAATGTCAACAGAATCTTCTGTCTTTAAATTAAAGGCTCTTAAGGGTGACCTAAGTGTCACAGCTACTTGTGGCCATTTAACACACATTCAACAGAAAAAGCTTTTCATTAAGAGTGAATGGGGAGACCTCATTCTTTTCCTTATGTGGGTCAAGGTTACATCACAATTCTCCTGAACTTTTAAAGTTTTAAATGGATGCAATTTCACATGGTGTTCAGAGTAAGTGGTTCTAGAGAAACTCCACTTCAGAACAGGGCAATGACTTGACAAATGTGTCATATCTTGCTCTTTTTTGAAGTCCTGCTGCTTTGAATTACCATATTCAAGCTGCTCTGACTCCCAGCAAGGTGATGATTTGAATAAGCTCGCTTTCTTGTAGTTAATTCCATCCCAGCTGATGCAGCGTCATGGAATGGAGCTGACTGAGAAGCTACCAAAACAGCACAGATGACCCCTGAGAGGTACAAAGATAAATCATCTGAGTACATCTAGGAATGCTTTGCAGGGTGTGGGTGGTGCTGCTCCTCTGTGTGACAGAAGTGACAGGCTGGGGGGGCAGCACTGGATGCACACGGATTCTGCTGTCCAGGATTTCCCGAGAGGAAGCAAAGCCAGGAGAGGAACGTTCCTGAGGAGCAGGGACTCCGCTATCACCGCGCCTCTTGAAGAGCGACAGCTGCAAATGGCCCCGCGGACACAATGGAGGCCTTGTCTGGTGCTGGCCAGGGATGTCCACTGGTAACTGTGTGCGGACACCCGGGAACACAGAGCCAACTGCCTCCACTGCTGGCTCACAGCCAGCCCCCTGCTCAGGGCCTTTGCTCCAAGGGTGCTGCTTGTGCGTCCTCAAGGAAAACGTTGCCCTCTGTACCTCTGTCTCTTTTTTTTTTTTCAGCCAGGTGACTGACTTATCTGGGGGTTTGTGTTGGTTCCTAGCAGAAGAGAAGAAATCCCAATGGACCACCATGTTCTCAATCCTTTAATGATTGTCTTCCATCAGGAGCTGTGTTGTGACACTGGTTGGGATCTCTTTTTTAAAACAACAGCTATGCTCTAGTTAGTCATACTAATGCTCCCTTTACTAACCAGATTTTGGGAATAACTTGAGGTTGCAGTGCCTCTGGAGAAAAAATTGACTTGGACCTACACAGCAAAGAAAACAGTTCATTGCAGGTCTTACATGGTTTTCTAATTGCCAGGTAGAGCAGGCAGTGTTAGAAAAATGTGAGTAATGTGTTTTTCTCTTGGGTTAGGTGCTGTGTGCTTTGTATTTAACCTACAAATCTGTAGGCACACAGTTCGTGGTAATTAGGAGTGGGGCTGCAGCTCAGCCTCATCCCTAATTGGGCACAGCTGTGGGAAGCAGGTGAGCAGCATTGAAGGCAATGAGTGCCCGGGGACACTGAGCAACCACCAAAGGGAGCAGAGGGCACACAGGTGCAGTGCATCAACATCAGGGTGTAAAGGGTTGGGCTGAAGGACAAGAGGAGCAGACACCCGCAGCCTTCTGAAGGGATGGGATGTTGCTCTGTAGGGGCAGACACCAGAAGCCTTCTGATGAGGTATGGTGTGACTCTGGGTGAATGCTTGATGCTTTCTGAGACTGCCTGCTGAGACACTGTGTGTTGTGGCTGTCTCAACTGCAACACGACTATATCCAAGCTTGCTTCTGGCTACTCTGGAATGTAAGGTTATTGCTGCTGTGCCATGGAAGTGATGGGGGTTTTGCTCAGGCAGTTGGGTTTTGTGGTGTAGAACCATGCAGGGTTGGGTGAGAGCCCATGAATGTCTTTGCAGCTGAAAGAGAATAGAGCAAGCTGACGGCTGGATGAAGTGAAGCTGTGAAGCCTCCACAACCTGAGGAGACACAGGTTACTTTAAGTATGCCCCAAGTGGTCAGCCACTGTGTCTATTCTACTTTCCACAGTGGTATGGCTATCCAAGGATGCTGTGTTCTGTTGGAAGTGGGTTTGCTGAGGGGATTTCCAGCAATTAGGGTACTGAAGTGCACATTTCAGTCATTCAACCCCAGATTTATCTGGGGGCTGTTTGAGGTTACTCCTCCATGTCTCCAGAGCACCAGACTGTAAGAGCCTATTGCAGTGTAGCTCATAAAAATTACTTTTTTTTCCTTGATATTTCCAAGATCTTTTGAGAAGCCAAGAGAACTCTGTAAAATGATGGTGTAATTAGGCAGTAAGTTCAGCTGACCTACTGACATAATTGCATGGGTGGCTGATGGATTTGGCTGAGGCTGCCATCTGGTCCCAACAGCGAAAGCCCAGACGTGTAAGGTCTGAGTTGAAGGAAAAAGAAAAGTCCAGCAAGCTGGAATTCTCGCTTTGCTTAGTGCCTTGAAACTTGTGATTAAGAGATGAGTTTAGGAAACAGCAGTTTAGCAATAAAAACAATGGCTAGATAAAGTTTCCATGTTCCATGCTGGAGGAATCTATTGCTGGGGTGAGAATTTGTCCTCAGAGTTGTGTTGTTTCTCCAAAGATGGCTCCATTACACCAATGATGGGGTGGGTGAGGGTGTTAACCAAGGGGCAATAACGCCTCACAAATGAAAAGTGCTTGCTCTTATTTATGGTTCCATATCATAAAGACAGGTGGGAGAGGATTAGCTCCTCTGTGATAAAGCAAATCTGTTAAGAGGGATTAAAGGGGCTATATGAAGTGTTTTAATGGACTTATATGAAGTAATAGATTTTTGTCCTGGAGGAATGTTCAGGACTCACTGATACTTCTACATTTCTTGTTCTGCTAAAATTACCTTCAAGTTATAAGGAATCCTGATTAATTATTGGCCTTCTTCCAGCTGGAGCATTTGTGTCAGTCATGGTGGTACTTCAAGAAAAAAACCTGGAATAAAATTCTGTTCTGCTGTCACACAGCTGGATTTAGCAGCCTTACACAGCACATGGGGCTGCACAGGTCTTGTTCCAATGACCTTTCATTTGCAGGGCAGTTTGCTTTTAGGGCAGCTCTTGATCATTTGTAGTTCTTCCCCATGGTTGTTTCACCTTCCTCTGGCTGGTGGGAGGAACCAAGGCATGGTTTCTTCCCTTGGCATTAGTTGTTCCCCACCCATGTGGTAAGGAGCTGCTCAAAGAGGTCACTGAAAAAATCTGCTCAAAAACCAGATCCCAGAGTGATGTTTACAGCTTGGTTTATGTTTGTGATAAACAGATGCAGTGCAGTTGGTTTTCCCAGGAGCTGCCATTCCCACTCCTCCTGGTGAAGGTGTCTTGACATACTGCATCATTTACTTACCAATAAACACAAATACGGCCAAGTTTTCCTGCCAACCATATGTGGCTTGGCTTTTTAGTTTAAGTATGTATGGGTGAGACACTAGTCTTAATGAATAACTCTTGATTTTAGCATCAAAAAAGAGCCAGGAATTCACCTGGATTTTTCAATATTCCTGATACATGTGTGGGGCAGTATTATAAGATAAGTATTGT